TTTATATATAGAATTATGAATTAACTCTACACCTTAAAAAATAAATTGATTCAATAATATCCAGATAACATCATTGTTTTAAGCGAGGCAAACCTTCTTATTTCAGCCGATTTACAGCTGTTGATCTGAGAGCACAGCGCACACTGGATGTTAGCATGAGGCCAGAGGCAGATTTACTGTTAGGCAATACTAGACTGTTACCTAGGGCCCCAAGTTCCTGGGGACCCCATAAAACTCTGTTTCCATGTATGGTTAATACAACAATTCCGTATTTGTGCACATTAATTATGTTTTTGATAAAAATCCTTTTGCTAAAATGCCATCAGAATGCTTAGAATATTAAGTGTGTCTCAGCCCGCCTTCAGTGTCCATCATATTGGATCAGTCCATTTGCTTCACATGTTCAGAAAGGTCCAGACAGACAGCAGCAAACCATTTGAAAACAAACGGTGCGAAGACCAGTGTTGCTAACTTAGCACTTTTATCACTATATTTAGTGACTTTTCAGACCCCTCTAGCAATTTTAGTTCAAAAAAACACCTAGTGCCAAATCTAGTGACTTTTTCTGCTACTGGAGACTTTGGAGACAACATATACAGGTGCTGGTCATAAAATTAGAATATCATGAAAAAGTTGATTGATTTCAGTAATTCCATTTAAAAAGTGAAACTTGTATATTATATTCATACATTACATACAAACTCATATATTTCAGATGTTTATTTTGTTTAATTTTGATGATTACAAATGACAACAAATGAAAATCTCAAATTCATCATATCAGAAAATTAGAATATTGTGAAAAGGTTCAAAATTGATGGCCCCTGGTGCCACACTCTAATCAGCTAATTAACTCAAACCACCTGCAAAAGCCTTTAAATGGTCTTTCAGTCTAGTTCTATAGGCTACACAATCATGGGGAAGACTGCTGACTTGACAGTTGTCCAAAAGACGACCATCGACACCTTGCACAAGGAGGGCAAGACACAAAAGGTCATCGCTAAAGAGGCTGGCTGTTCACAGAGCTCAGTGTCCAAGCACATTAATAGAGAGGCGAAGGGAAGGAAAAGATGTGGTCGAAAAAAGTGTACAAGCAAGAGAGATAACCGCACCCTGGAGAGGATTGTGAAACAAAACCCCTTCAAAAATGTGGGGGAGATTCACAAAGAGTGGACTGCAGCTGGAGTGAGTGCTTCAAGAACCACCACACACAGACGTATGAAAGACATGGGTTTCTGCTGTCGCATTCCTTGTGTCAAGCCACTCTTGAACCACAGACAGCGTCAGAAGCGTCTTGCCTGGGCTAAAGAGAAACAGGACTGGACTGCTGGTGAGTGGTCCAAAGTCATGTTCTCTGATGAAAGTAAATTTTGCATTTCCTTTGGAAATCAAGGTCCCAGAGTCTGGAGGAAAAGAAGAGAGGCACTTCATCCACGTTGCTTGAAGTCCAGTGTAAAGTTTCCACAGTCAGTGATGGTTTGGGGTGCCATGTCATCTGCTGGTGTTGGTCCATTGTGTTTTCTGAGGTCCAGGGTCAACGCAGCCACATACCAGGAAGTTTTAGAGCACTTCATGCTTCCTGCAGCTGACCAACTTTTTGGAGATGCAGATTTCATTTTCCAACAGGACTTGGCACCTGCACACAGTGCCAAAGCTACCAGTACCTGGTTGAAGGACCATGGTATCCCTGTTCTTAATTGGCCAGCAAACTCTCCTGACCTTAACCCCATAGAAAATCTATGGGGTATTGTGAAGAAGAAGATGCAATACACCAGACCCAACAATTCAGAAGAGCTAAAAGCCACTATTAGAGCAACCTGGGCTATCATAACACCTGAGCAGTGCCACAGACTGATCGACTCCATGCCACGCCGCATTGCTGCAGTAATACAGGCCAAAGGAGGCCCAACTAAATACTGAGTGCTGTACATGCTCATACTTTTCATGTTCATACTTTTCAGTTGGCCAACATTTCTATAAATCCTTTGTTTTTATTGGTCTTCAGTAATATTCTAATTTTCTGATATGATGAATTTGAGATTTTCATTTGTTGTCATTTGTAATCATCAAAATTAAACAAAATAAACATCTGAAATATATGAGTTTGTATGTAATGTATGAATATAATATACAAGTTTCACTTTTTAAATGGAATTACTGAAATCAATCTACTTTTTCATGATATTCTAATTTTATGACCAGCACCTGTAAAAGCAGCGAACTCTGCTCTCCAGAGCAAGTAGATTGGTAACCCCGTCTCCTGCTCTCCTCTATCTTGTCTGCTGTCATGATTCATGCAGCTATTATTTCATCCAAATGAAAAATGGAGAACAGATAAGCAGATCATGGCTTGTCTACACTGAAAAGAAGGACTGGGTTATTTACCTTGGCCGTTGTCTATTTGGAAACACAGGAGGGAGCAATCAGCTGAGTGAGCTTAGTGCTTGGAAAAAAATCTTTGATTCCTTTTAGGACAGCATGAAAAGTCAGCTGAGTACAAAACATATAGAGGAAAACAACAAAGAAAAAACTTAGAACAAATCTGTATAATGGGTCTGTTTTATGTGTTGTCATCTTACTTCAGAGAGCCCCCTGCCTGTCTTTGCCTAGGGCCCCAAATCTCCTTAATCCGCCCCTGCGTGAGGCAATGCTCTTTACTGCTTCTGTTATTATTAGCTGTGAGTGCAATTTGTGGTCACAGGTCAGCTTGCACTTTATTATTTAATTGGAGGTAACGGGTCGGGTTTCGGTTCTGAACTCTACGGCTGTGGGAGTGTACAGTTTTGAAAATTCAGAGCCATGAAGGACTCTGCTCTACATGCTACACTCTGATCTGGAGGTGAGGTGTCTTTAGCAGTGGAACACCACAAATGCTAGGACATCAGGCCAGGACAATCCAACATGTCAGAATCCCAGCATTTGCAATCCAAGGGGTGTGGGAATTTTTTCGAGCATCGCCAATCATTTAACACACCAGAAACAACTCGATTAACACCTTGATAATCCGGACTTCTTGGAAGGTAAAGATCAGGGCAGAAATTAACAGAATTATCTTGCAGTGTGAATCCTAAACAACTTAAGCAAGAGGTAATGAGTAAACAAGACCTGATAACATTTGGAAGAATAAATGATGTTCATCGTTGCCTTTTTTTAAGTTATAAATAAATCATTTATAAATAGATAATTGAACTTTATTGATCTCACATTGGGGAAGTTTCCCTCTGCATTTACCCCATTCTCTTGGGGAGGGGTGGGCTGCCATAGTGGGGTGCCCAGGGTGCAATCAGGGGTTAAGGGTCTTGCTCAGAGAGCCAGAGTAGAAGTGATAGCAAACATCATTGTATAAATTTAATTATTGTTTTTAATCAAATAATCTGTACTCAGCTATTTGTAGAATGATGATGTCGCAGCCCCATTCCTGACTTAGTCCCTCTGAACCAAAGCACAGCAGATATGTCAGGCTTAAAGGTACGATATGTTCTTTGTGTTGTTTTACAGTATGTTTCCACAAGGGGATGGGTTAAATGCAGAGAATTAATTTCTCCATTGTGAGATCAATAAAGTCAAATTTCTTCATTTGATGTTTGGTGTATGTCAGTGATTCTGTTACAAACAGACCTGGCATATGTCTTATTTATTTTTTTAGGATTAAATAATTCTTAGAAAGCATGCTTTAATCTTCACCAGCACCCCTCACGGCCACAGCAGGGATAAGCGTGAAGGAAAATGGATGGATGGATGGATGCTTTGATCTTTTAAGGAAAATACAAAGATTGTTTCATAGGGGGGAAATCTGCTTTAATATAGACACCGCCTTGAATTTAACATTAGTTCTTTGGAATTTCTGTTTGAATGAATGATATAAAGGCAGGGCACCAAAACAGGCTGAAGCCCAGGGGCCCTGCATCTTCTTAGACACGGCCCTACATAACAGACCGTTTTTTTTTTTTCCAGGGCAACATGGATCAACAAATTCAAGGTCCGTCTGCAAACAACAGAAGGAGTACCAGACTTAAAGGGGTCATAGAATGATTCTATAGGGTATTTGGTGCTGGTCTTTAAGGTCTCTGAACAGGGTGTGTAACATTGGTTGGGCTGAAAATGGCATATTTACTGTTCTATGAGCCCTAATGCAGCCTGGTTATAATCCTCAGAATGAAACGACAAGTTTTCTTCCTTTTATGGTATGTTCATGAATATTTAGATGAGCTGTGTGCTGATTGGATGGTTTACAACGAGCGAAGCTCCTGAGCAAAGACGAATCATAGCAACAAGCACTCACTCACTGAAACATCAAATTGTTGATATGGTAGGGTGACCAGACGTCCTCTTTTTCCCGGACATTTTCTACTTGTCATACCTAAATGGGGGAATTTCAATATCATCCGGGATTTTGGTCAACTACAGTGCAGGACGTGGTTGAAACAAACCGGGCATTTGGACTGATCCGTCAGCTCCGGGGCTGGCCCGGGAACCCCGGGGGGTGATGGTAGCCTGGACACAGGTGGACCTGTGCTTTCCCCAGTCTGCCTTACCGGTCCCCAGCCCCCTCCTCCGGCTGAGGTCCGATCCAGTCAGCAGCTCAGCAGTCGCCACTTCATACCCTCCCTCCAGTGAACCAGTGGGCTGGTCTGTATGTCAATTTCAGGGCGGGACAGAAGTACAGGCCAGAACCAAATAAGGCAACATCCCCAAGTTTACGTCAACTCTGGGCTTCGTTTGGATTTGCCTGTTTTATGTCGGAAGTTTAGAATTGTGAGATTTGCAGAGAAAGGAGGTGTCGATGGGGTTTGGACTTCTCTGTACGTCCATTTCACCCACTGAACTATCATTATTCATCTATGACAATCTAAACTGGGTTTTGCATTCTATGACCCCTTTAAGGCCTCTGATTAAACCAGAATGAGTTTTAAAAACACACAATCACTCAGAAAAGTTTTAAGGGTGAACTCCCTGACCCCACCCCAACCCCTTCACACTGGCAGCTTGGTGACGTCAGCTCAGGTTAAATACACATTTTATTCACAAGTAAAAACGTTTAACAGCAACCTCTCAGAAAACATCAACTCTGATTGCATTTATTCCAGCAAGCTGTTGCTCTCATGGGCCTGGCTGTGCCTGCACTGTCTGGGCCCCTAGGACTGTTTCTATCAATGATATGTGACAAGAAAATAAAGGGGGGGCTGATATTAACACCTCCAGTGTAACTTACTGTTACATTGTAGGCAGAGGGGGAGTTGGAAGAAGAGGGGGGTTTAGTTTAAGCAAGAAGTCAGTGATTGTCACAGCAGAGCTGGAGCTGCTCCAGAGGGGCTATGTGTTGCATGCCTCAGCGGGGAAAATGTCCTCATAAGCGGGCGGCAGTTCGCTGGGGACCGGATAGGAGAATGGGAAGCAGTGATTGAGCTCCGGGTCCCAGGGCCAGTATCCGGGCAGCTCGATGGACGGGTGGCCCCCGCGCTGCACCTCGGCCCCCGTCTCATCCAGGACGCTGAAGACCCCCAGGTTGATGTAGGACACCGGCTGGAGCCCCGCGGAGGAGCAGTCCCGCTCCTCGTTGAACACGATGGCCCCTGTGCTCCTCCTCTGCCGCTGCCTGCTCCTGGAGAACTGCTCCGCCTTGTAGCGCTTGATGATGAGCAGGTTGAGGAGCCCCAGCAGGCACTCCAAAGTGCTTAGGACGGTGGAGATGACAAGAGTCCGCTGGTACTCCCTTAGCTGCTGGCAGGGAGAGTTCACCAACACAGAGTGGAAGCAGTAGTGGGAAAATTTCCTCTCCACTAAAGAAGCCGTGTCCCCGTCCACGACCGCGCCGGAGAAGGCGGTGAGGACCCCGAGCAAGAAGACAACAACACCCAGGAGGAAGAAATTTCTGCAGCCGGGCTTCTGCACGCAGCACAGCATAGCGGAGCCCAGCAGCACCTGGCCGGTCCCCACCAGCAGCCCGGAGTAGAAAGCCCCGGCAGCGGCGCCGAGGTGGAAGTGCGCCTTCACCGAGGATCCCAGAGAGACGCATCTTAATCCAACCACAACTTCGCTCAGGGCGCACACGAAGAGGAGGGCGCTGGAGCACACGGTGCACAGTCCTTTCCCACTCAACTTCATTATAGCCCACCACTGCCGCTCTCGATCCCTCTCCCCCCTTCTTCATCCTCCTTCGTGCGCTCCTCCGTCTCCTCTGGAAACACGCTGGGACATCATCTGCCGGTGACTCCTCCGGTTCAGAGCGGGCGATCCTCGCCGCTGCGGCTCCTCTCTCGCATCCCCGCCGCTTTACAGGAACCTATAAATAATTAATGGCAGCTGAGCCTTTCCCCTCAGCAATTATCGATAAATCCACAAGCAGCCAGTGATCGCTGGTTCCCGCGTCCAGGCGCTCCTCTCTGCTGAACATCTCCTCTTCCTCTGAACCTGTAGGATAGAAAGAGTCAGACCTCAGCCGCCGAGCCTGTTAAAATGCAGCGATGCGTTCATGTGAGGAAAGGGAGGAGATCATAGAGGTGACCATTGACCCAGGGGCGTTCAAACTTTCTAACATGGTTCCCATGCGCTCCTTTAATTCAGTTTATTTATAAATTATCAAGGCACTTTACAGTTCACCAGATCATACAGGCGAATTGATTCAAAGTTTTCTATCTAAGCAAAACCAGCGGATTGCATCAACTCATTGACTCAAAAGTAATCCCTTACACTAAGCATGCTTGTAGCAACAGTGGAGAGGAAAAACTCCCTTTTAACAGGAAGAAACCTCCAGCAGAACCAGGCTCAGTGTGAGCGGCCATCTGCTGAGGCTGACTGGGGTTCAAGGAGACAGAAGCAGACATACAAAAAACAATTGTAAAAGGCGGCTCCATCCAGGAAACACACAGCCAAGCATGTCAGAGGATGAAGAGAGCACATCCAGCCAGTCACAGTCAGAGAAACAGGACTACACTGAGAAACAGGCAGATCTCCAACATCTATAAACACAGGTGTTAAAGGGGTCATAGGGGCGGGGGTGTTGAACTGTAGTTAAACCAAAATCCCGGATGATTTTGAAATTCTCCCCAGACATTTTTTTAGGTATGAAAAGTAGGACATGTCCGAGAAAAACAGGACGTCTGGTCACCCTACCACTGTAACAATTTCAATGTTTCAGTGAGTGAGTGCTTGTTGTTATGATGCGTCTTTGCTCAGCAGCTTTGCTTGTAAACCAACCAATCAGCGCACAGCTCATCTAAATATTCATGAGCATACCATAAAAGGATGAAAACCTGTCGTTTCATTCTAGGGCTTTTAAAGCTGAAGTCTGTAAGTTTTTAAAAATCACTTTTTTGTCATATTGGCTAAAACTGTCCCTATGCCCAGACAGCAGTACATGTGATATGTAACCTGTGAAAAAAACTGCTTCAATTGGTACCGCCTACTGCCTGTATTTCAATCTGGAAAGAATAATTCGGGACGAGTCAAAACAACCAATCACAGCCAGAGGAGCGTCTGATGGAGTGTCAATCACAGCTCACACACGCTGAATCCTGGTAGTTGGTCCCATAGGAGAGGAGCCTGATAACTAAAAGATCTGCCTCCCATTCTATTTCTAGAAACCACTAGTAAACCATGAATAAAGTTTTTCAGAAGAAGGGAACTTTTGGATTTTGCTCAAATCAACCATTAAAATCATAAAAATTGTATGTGAATAAAAGTATAATAATAAACCAAGTTTTTAAGGTTAAATCTTTATCAATTTTGGTACAATTTCCACGTGTGAGAACAAGCATAGCCCTGAACACAAGGAAAAACAGAAACCAGGAATTTTTATAGGATTTCTTAACCTTAACAGATTTTAATCAGCGTGTAAAAATCAAGGAAAATATTTAAAGGGGCATTGTCACCTTTTGTGACATTTTTAAAATGTTGTATACAAAGTTTTCATGGAGGATTGTGTGTATCCTGTTGGCATATTATTTGTTGTTTTTGTATTTTACACTTTGTCTTTGTTTTGTTTGGTAGTAAATATAATCCTTTTATGTATAGTTACAATAACAATGGAGATAAGTTACTGGGCGTATGCTCAGGGGGTAAACAAGGATCTAGTTTACTACAGCTTTTCAAAACTAATCACAAACACTTAGAATTTTGAAGGTTTTTAAAATATTTCTACTTGCTACGGTCCCTGAATGCAACTGGGAATACATGCGCCTCAAGATCCTCTTTGATGTTCCTGAGTCGAGTCCAGTAAAGTGAGTACAGGTGCATTTAATGCTTGTGCTGCTCCTGTGTTCAATGGCAGAGCAGCTTTTCTATATTTGCTATAATAGCATGCAAAAAGTAGTTTCAATATGTTTTTAAATGAGACAGTCAATATTACCATCCTGCCATAAAGTATTATTACACCGTCATACCCAAGCAGTCCCCCACATTCCAGCGGTGAGCAGTCACTGGGAATCCCCAGCAGCAGCTGCCTCAGGCTAGGTTGCCTCTTGGGGGTTTTCCACTACTTTAGTAATGATGTTAGCGTTTTTCAGGTATGTGGTACAAACTGCAGGCACCAGAATAATATAAAGCAACATATTTTGCCGACGCCAAGCAGCAAAAGATCAATGTTTCCAACTCCAGCAGCTGTTGCTTGTGAAGCCGAAAAAAGATCTGAAAATTTGTATAAAAAAAAAACAACAAAAAAAAACAACAAAAAAAGAAAAAAAAACTTTCAAGTTTGAAAAAACAAAAAAAAAACTTTAATCTAAGAAGTACTTTTACTTTGAACAAAGTTCTTTTTCAACAATTGTTTGTTTGAAAAATTGTTTGAAAAACAATTTGGAAGCAATCAATGTTTCCAACTCCAGCAGCTGTTGCTTGTGAAGCCGAAAAAAAGATCTGAAAGTTTGTAAAGGGAAAAAAAAACGACAGCAAAAAAAAAAGCAACTTGCAAGTCTGAAAAAAAAAAACCAAACTTGAATCTAAGAAGTACTTTTACTTACTCTACAAACTTTTTTTTCAAACATTTTTTTTTTTTTTATTCAACTTCTTATCACACTTTTTGGCCCCAACTTAGCTCCATACAGTTCAATCTGAAAAGGTTTAACGTTACTTTTGGCTGCACAGACCTACAGCTACAGTCCTTAGCATATGTAATTTACTTAAAAATGATTAAAATCTAACATCTTGTACATCTTAAACCACCTGCAAGTACTGAGGTTTAAGAGGAAGCTCAGAGGGGCCTTCCCTATCACTACTCTTCGTTTATGGAATAGCCGCCCCCTGCACATTTAGGAGGCTCCTTCACTACCGAATTTTAAAACACAGCTCAACACTCACTTTTATTCAATGGCTTTTAACCCTGGAAGGACTTGGTTGTTGACTTTTTTATTTAGCTAAAACAAATTATTTTTATTAGCTTATTTTATATTTTTATGCTGTATTGTATTTTATTGCTGCTTAATCTTTTATTGAGTTTTGTCATTTTTAGCTATGTTCAGCACTTTGGTTTATGCTATAGCTGTTTTAAAGCGCTCTACAAATAAAGATGATGATGAATATTAGTATTGTATTTACATTGAAAATAGATATGTGTTAAATAAAGTCAATTTAACAAACTTCTTGGCTTGATTTTCAGTTAAAAACTTCCTAACATGAATGACATCAGCATAGCTAGTAGTTAAAGAAATCTAACAACCGTTTTTCTGCCCTCCGCTAAGGATGGTTGGATTCTGTGAACACCCTTAAAGCCTTCGACCTTATGCTAACACACAGTTTGACAGCAGTAATGACAGACCATGAATCTCATTTCTGCAAGTAATATTTTAAATAAATGGAGTTTTACTGAAATCACAACTCGTTCTTTTGGATAAAACTTCCAGGCTGGGCTCTGGACAAAGCGTGACCACATTTCTGTGTAAATTCTAATATTTTTGGGCTGGAGGATCAAGCTGGACCAGCAGCTGCCTAAAAAGGGCAGAGGCTTTGATCTGTTTCAGGCCTGTGAGTTGGACGTCTGTCCAACTCACTAAACTCCTCCACATCTTTTCCAACAGTAAGCAGGCTGGCAACATAGAAAAAAAAAACACTCTACAAAAAAAAAAAAACACTATTTAAAAGAGATTTAATAGAATTGTGTGGGTGCTTCTACAGTATTTGCGTTTCATTTTCTCTTTTCAGTGTCCAAGTGGCCTTGGCACCGGAGGAGAGAGGACAACAAGAATTGCATTACAATCTTTTCTTTTCAGAGTAAAAACGTAGGACACTTGATGTGAGTCAGCCACAGTCAGCTCTGCAGCGCCAAACACAAGCTACAACCCACAGTCTAAAAGTGAACGTTTGAGTGTGAAAACCTTTTTTGATTCGTAATAACAGAGGAGGCAGTTGAAAGGGGAGTCCCACTAACTCTGAAGTTCTTCTGTTTCCTCACCCATCGCTGAAGGAGTCACTGGTTTTACATATACAATAGTTTTGAAACTGTTTATACATTCATGTTTCATAATTTTTAGGAAAAATAAGAAAATTCAGCTCATTGGAACCTCTTTTCATACCCTTTCTTTGATAACGGAGCATTATCACAGATCCTTCCTCCCATCAGCTGTAAGACTACACTGAAAAAAAAAATCAAAATTTAGATAAATAATTTTTTCTTAAAATAAGTGCATTTTTCTTGGATTTAGGAGATAAAAGACACATCTTGCCAAACGAACAAGACAAATTACACTCAAAATAAGAGAAAACAATTGCATTGTCTTATTTCAAGTGCATATTATCTAATTATCTTATTTTATAAGTAAAAATGCTCATTCCATTGGCAAACTATATAATTTACCTACTCAAATTAAGGTTAAATGCAGTAAATTTAATACGTTTTTACTTATATCTAGACCATTTTTCCAGTGTATAACCACTGTGCTGATTCATGCTGATTTTGCACAGTTTCTATCTTATTCAGTTAAATAACATGCTGCTGTCATTTTGCACATCTCTGATGTTGCTGCTATTTTCAAATATCCATTACTGTAAAATGTCCAAAGCTGTATATTGGTTATTTATTTTCCAGGTTTACAGTTTTATATTGTTAAAACACACACAAAAAAATTCTACAACCTTTCTGCTGCTGTACACACCAGAATTTCCCCCATTGTGGGACAATAACGTGAAATTCTATTCTATTCAATTTTATTTCTATTGTGAGAGTACAAATGACAATTTCACCTGCTTTGATTTATATTTCTAATTTGAAGATAAAAATTGATTCATCTTCACATTAATCCTTTATCAAAACATACATTTTTATATTTTCCTTTATCTGATCTGTTGTTTTTTATTATCTGTTTGTTTGTTGCCACCCTTTAACTGAGGATATTACTGTCCCTGCTGCTGCATGCAGCCGACAGGTGGGTGGAAAGTTTAGCTGCACTTAGATATCCGCAGAGATCCATAGTATTCCCTTAGATTACGAAATGTATATCTCACAGGTTGGGCAGTGAAGCGGACAGTATAGCAGA